GATCCTGCTTTCTAGGAAGCCAGAGAGCCAGGCAATGAGGCCCTACACACAGGCCTTTTCAAGGGCATATGAGTGGCTCTGGGGCCACTTGACAAAGAAGATGCAGGCTCATTGTGAGCTTGGGCCTTAGAGGACATTGCTTTTAGGTCCTGTACAATGTAAAAGAGTGACCATAGTTCTGAACCAAAACTTGGGCGTCTAGTCTGATAAGGAATTTTGTACTACGGATGACTGCGAGGACCTAACAAACACATGGACTTGAGACGCTGAAATGTTGGTGTTTCTAGGATATTCTGATAAGGCAATAGATAGAATATTTCAAATGGAACCCTCTTGGCAAATCCAAGCTGTAGGGCACCGGCATCATGGATTGCAGCAGCCAAGAGAGGACAGGACAGAGGATCCACATGGGTAGGTGCAGAGGGTAGAAACAGTCCAGAAGTGTACCTGTGCCTTGGCTGCTGACGAGGGAGTCATTTCAGTCTGGAAAGAAAGGGACTCTTTTTTTAAAGCAAAGAGCTTGGTGGTGGGGCAGTGTCAGCTTACTTATTCTGGAATTGAGGCCTAAAACTGGGGAAAGCAATAAACAGAGAGTGACCCTAAATGCCTGGGCAGAAAGCAATGGATGTGGAAGACTGGAGCAGCATCCCTTCCTCAGCTTAGTTTCCTCATCTGGAACAGAAGCTACCAAACAAACAATTCCCAAGTCCTTCCTGAGCCCTTAACTGTGGCTTCCACACATTGCTCAACCTGCCTTGGCACTTATATCCCTGTCCCCTTGACAATACTGGGGTTTCAACACAATTATTAAGGCACTCTATCACTTGGCCTATGCCTTTACTTTGTTTCAGATAGAGTCTTCCTTTTGTCCAGGCTGGCCTCAGACCTCAATCCTCCTACCTCTACCTCCTGAGTAGCTGAGAACACAGATGTACACCACCACACTTAACTTGTGTTTGAGATAGGGTCTTGCTAACTTTTTGCCTGGCCATTCCTCGAACATTATCCTCCTATTTCTACCTCCCAAGTAACTGGGATTGCAAGCATGAGCCACCACACTTGGCTATATATGGTCCCCTTAAAGTCTATCTGCCTTCTGATGGGATACCGGATGTTCCCTCTGGTTGTGTGTCCCTATCCTTGTCCCTGACTCCTTGCCCTGCGAGTGTTTGGCTGTGTACATAAGACGGGTAGAAGCCTTTCTATACTTTGGAATGTTTGGGATGTGTCATCATGTGGAGATGCAGGCAAAGGAAAGAGTCTGGTAATTCTTTGTAGGTGACATCACCACTCTCTGGGGTGCTGGACTGAATAACATATGAGTAGAAAAATAAGGCAATTTGTTTATCAATAGAGTCAGTATGCTTCCAAGGTGTGAGGTGGCTGCTGACTTCCTAATCTGTGTAAATAGAAGACTTACATAAAGGAGTGAAAGCTGGTTACACACAGATGTCTGGAATCGTGCACTTGGTGGCCCTTGCTCTCTCAAACCAGACCGTGGGTGGGAGAGCAAGGGCTCTCAAAACCCTATCAGTAACAGATAGGTGACAAACTTACAAGAGAACTGTCTGAGAGAGAACAACTGTCCTCACATAGCTACAGGTCTTGTCCCACAACAAAATGAGATGTATCTTGTAAGGCATGTGGAAGCTGGAGGGAAACAGACTTCAACTCAAAGCAAAGAAAATGGAATTAGTCTGAGAAGGTAATAAATTCTTCCTGCCTTGGAAAAAAATCAATGGGATTCATATTCAGTGAATGCCTAGGCACTGAATTATATACCTGCCATAAATCATCCCACTTAAATCTCATAATAATCAGTGGGAAGATTGGAGTTCAGAGAGGTTAAGTAAGTTACCTAAGGTCGCACAGTGACTGTGGAGTTTATCAAATACCAAAAAGCCTGTGTTCTTTCCACACGACATGCCAAGAGCCCTCTAGGCAGGAATCTTAGCAGAGGACACTTAAGATTGTCATTAAACTCTTATTCAGCCTTGAGAGCTTCAAATTCTAAGGTGCTAACCAGTAAAGTCCCAAGGGATCAAGTGTCTTTAGCTCATCTAAGCTGCATAAAATCTATCCTTACATTCTCCCAAGGTTAAAAACAGTTCTACATTTTAGGCAGTGAGGGCTCATGTTATTTGTTTTGTGGTAGTGGAAGTGGAACCCTGGGCCTTGTGTATTCTAGGCAAGTGTTAAACTGCATCCCCAGCCTCAATCCTGCATTTTAAATGAATGTCTCTTTATGTGCAGACATGCATGTGTCATTGTACCACATGTGATTGGGAGACAGGGGCTGTGGAAGGAATGAAAGGGAAAAGGCAATGGTTAGGCCACTGCCTTTGGTTAGGCCTTTTTTTTTTGAGCCATGATCTCAAATGTAGCCCAGGCTGGCCTGAAACTCTTGATCCTCCTGGCTCAGCCTGCCCAGTGGTAGGATTATAAGTATGCATCAGGCTGTAGAAGGCCTCTTTGTTATCTCTGTTGCCTGGTCACTTGCTTAGGAACCCATGAATAAGGATGATCACATTGTCTAGTTAAAATATGGACCTCTTGCTTTCTCCCTTCTCCCTCCCCAGCTCCCTCATGACTGCAGAATCATAGGTATATGGAGTCTTATGCTTACCTACACTGACAGGCTTCCTGAACCTCTCCAAGTTTCAGTTACCTCATCTGTAAAGAATTGCAGTACTACCTCATGGGGCCTTTGGGCAAGTCAATGAAATTGCACTGGGTCCCATCCATTGCGCCACTGTGGGGAAAGCGAAAAAGAAGAGTATGGTATTGTTATTGAAAACCAGTCCCCTGGCACAATGCCTGTTCACAAATAAGGAGATCATGGTTTTGAGGAAAAGGAAAGAAGGTTTATTATTCATCAGATGAAGAGGACAGGAAGAGTCAACCTCTCAAAGCTCTGTTGTCCCATTTCTGAAAGAAAATGTCTACTTTTTAAAGGGGAGTTCAGGGATTCTGCTTGAGCATGTGACCAAGGCTGTGTCCCAGAATAGATGTTGGTCATGGTTCTGTAGGTGCCCTGGAGCCACATCTCCAAAGCTGTATGTCTTGGCTGACAGGTTGACTTCTCTGGTGGTCAGAGAGAGAGAAAGAGTAGAAGGCTGCCTGGTTTAGTTGAAGAGTAAAAGGGTTAACATTGGGCTTTCCAGAATCTAGAAATAAGAGGGAAAAATGTCAGCTCGATTAATCAGCAGAGTAAATTGGCCAGCATGCAAGCTGGCTACACCAAAAGTTTTTCCCTTTTATAATCCCAATTACATTTTCCCCACTGTCCATTTATTCTTTCCATTTCTATGGAAAAGAGGCATTGCAATCCTGTAACTGCTTCCTGCCTTTAGTATTTAGAGGTCCAAGTAAGGAGTCAGTGCCCCTAGCAAAAGCAGCTGTTAAGTCCCCCATTACAATATGCACAGTAATCCAACATAGGGCCACTAGGCAGAGACCCGCAGGCACTCTGACCTCCACCATTGCTCTCTCCAGTGTCTTGGTCAGGAATGACTTCTCCTTAGGGTGGCATAATGTTAGGCAAATCAAATAAGAAGTGACCTGAATTCAAATCCCAGTAGCACAAAAGAAAAAAAGAATTAATAATAGGACTAAAAATTGCCTGGTTTGAGAGAACACTCATACTGATCCTAAATCCTGCTTGCCACTGGAAAACCCTCAAGAAAAAGTAGGGGGGTGGATTATATTTATAATGCTCAGTTCATGAGTCTGATTTCAGTGTCCATTTTAGTTATTTTAGAAACCAAGTTTATTTTTCATTCAATTGCATTTCGTTTTCTAAACAGTGACTTCCAAACCCTTTAAAAAGCACAGAGGGGCAACCTCTATGGAAAATATTGTAGAGGTCTCTCCAAAAGTTAAAAATAAAAGCTATCATATGGTCCAGCAATTACACTTTGGGTACACATCAAAAAGAATTGAAAACAGTGATAAAGAGACATTTGCATACTCCTGTCATAGTGGAACTATTCACAATAAATGCCCAAGAGATGGAGCAGCACAAACGCCTGTTGACAGGATGAAGTAGCAAAAGTGTGGAATCTGTATGCAGTGAGATAGTATTCATTATTGTTATTGTCAGATCATTTCATTGAATTTTTGTTCTTTTTTTGTAGTACTGGGGGTTGAACTCAGGGCGTCGCTTTCCATAGAGAGGTGCTTTACTGTTTGAGCCCTGTAGCCCTTGTCTTATCATTTTAATTCCTTAGAAAGAAAGGCAATCTTACCACAGGATGCAATATGAATAACCTTGATGCACTGTCCTAATAATGATAATAAGCGAATCACAAAACAACAAATATTGGATGTTTCCACTTACATAAGGCAACTAATAAGTCGAATTCATAGAAACAAACAGAATGGTGGTTACAGGGGAAGGAGGGGATGGAAAGGGGGTATTTCTGTTTCATGGGTTCAGAATTTCAGATCTGCAGGATGAAAAGCTCTGGAAATCTGTTTCACAACAATGTGAGTATAAAGCACTTTGAACCATACACTCAAAAATGGTCCAGCTGGGCATGGTGGCACATGCCTGTAATTCAAGCACTTGGGAGGCTGAGGCAGGAGGATCATGAGTTCAAGGACAGCCTTGGCTGCATAGCAAGACTCTGTCTAATAAAAAGGTCAAGACGGGAAATTTTATGTTACATGGGATTTTTTTTTTTTAAGCAATACTGAGATTTTAACTCGAAGTCTTACACTTGCTAGGCAGGTACTCTATCAATTGAGCCATGTCCCAGCCCATATGGGATTTGTTTTTATCACAGTAAAAATAATGCATGAAACTTACTATTTTTTGTAATTAATATACATTAATTAAAAAATAATGGAAAAAAAGCATTAGGAACCAAAAAGAATCACTCTAGATTCTCTCACTATGTTTAGTCACTAGATAAAACAGCCTGAGTCTGTTGCTGCCTGCTCATGCAGGAGTTTATATTTAATTAAAATAAAATCTTGTCCTGTTTGCCGGTCCTTAGGCCTGGAACAGGTGTCCAAAGCAGTGAAAGAAATGGCAACACTGTCCTGTGGTTATAACATCTCTGTTGCTGAGTTGACAAAATGTCGGATCTACTGGCAAAAGGACCACAAAATGGTGATGAGTATCATATCTGGGACAGTCACAATATGGCCTGAATATAAGAACCGGACCATCCCTGACATCGATAATAACCTCTCCCTTGTGATCCTGGCCCTGAATCTGTCAGACAAGGGCACATATACCTGTGTCGTGCAGAAGATTGACAACGGGTCCTACAAGCGGGAACATCTGATTTCAGTGATGCTATCCATCAGAGGTTGGTGGGATTTCCTGATTTACTGATAGTTTCTTAATGTCCTTAAAGAACGTCTATTGGTGTACTGAACTTTTTTTGGCAGTCCTGGGGGTTGAACTCAGAGTTTTGCTCTCGCAAAGAGGGCTGTATCTCACTTCATTTCTTAGGGGCAGGTCTCTCCAGTTTTACCAAAAGCCTAATTGATTTCTCAATACAGAAATGTCTATTAATGTGCATTTCTTATCCTTCCACATCCCAAGTTTGTGGCAATCATCTGGGCACTGTGATGAACTGACTGTCTTCTGAATCACCGAGGACATCCTTGATTTGACTTAGCTATGCTATGAACTTTACTTGAGCCAGCAATTATACCTGGGAACCCATACTGGGAAGATCAAAGAGCAAGACAGGCATAAATATTTTTTAGGCAGTATTTGAAAGTCTACTGCTGGGGCTATTTTACTACCAGGTGCTAATATTCTCAAAACAAATGTACTTATTATGTGTTTGAAGCTTTCACTAAGAGTCACCCCTGCAAAGTTCGATGTTAGGTGCCTGAGTCATGCCTATCACAGGGAAGACAACTAATTCCCTAATCAAAGCCCTATTTATTATTCCCCTGAAGGATGAGCATTTCTCATTTTGAATCAGAAGGAGCCTTCCTTTTTTTTTTATCTTTTATTTTTATGGCAGCACTGGAGTTAGAACTCTGGACTATTTATCTTATAGGATAAATGAATGAGTAGAAAATAATAATGTCAACTAAAAATGGCTAGAAACATGTCATACTTCGTTTAAGAACAAGGTCCATTAAAAAAATGACTTCACCTCTAATTAAGTCCAAGTTTTTCCCTTCCCTGACTACTACACACTTGTCACGACTTTCTCCTTCCCTCATTTTTCCCATTGCCACTAGGCAGTCCTGAAAACATTCCCCTGGCAAACTGATTTAAGTGAGGGGAACTATTTAAGTTAAGCTGTCGCCTAACTTCCTGTGTCCAGCTCTGGGCTAAGTGATTTATATTAATGATTCCTACAGCCTTGGAAGGCAGGTGTTTAACTCAGACTTAACAGTAGTTAAATAATTGGCCCAAGGTCATAAGGCAAAACTGGGTTTAAGACCTGCTTTTGGTGACCACTGTGCCATATGATCCTTGTGGGACTCAGACTTCTGAGACGGAAGTGTAGGGGGTTTGAATTTGTATATTCATGATGAGAAGTTAAAAAAATTCTTTAAATCTAAATCAGTGAGGAAGCGGTTAGGGGAGGTTTCTCTTGTGTTCTCTGCAGTCATTTCCCTACACCACTTCAGTGTAGTTTAGTATCTTACTAGGGGTCAAATACACCAAAGAAAGAGTACCTGGAGAATCTTGGAGAAATGCTGGGAGGCCCCTCTGTCCCTTGAAGACATATAGATAGCAAGGTGTCCCATAAACTGTTATGATTGCCGTAACAAGCTCCATATCGTACAGTGTGGACATAGGTTTAGCTGAGTAAGAGACTGCTTTTTAAGAAGCACAGAAATGTGAAACATGAATTTTGGGTAATGATTACCTCAGGTGTTGGGAAACAGAGGGACAGGAAGGACAAGTATGTAGTAGTAAGCTCCTGTTAGTTTTCTGATTCTCAAGTTGTAGTGTGGCTTCACCCACACCCCTTACTGTTTGTCAGATAAATAGATAAAAGAGAAGAGAGCTGCTTGTGTGCCTCAAATATCAGCAAGGAAGGAAGGAAAGGAAGAGGACAGCAAGGTCAAGCTCTGGTGTCACAGAAGTTTGAATGAAAATCCCACTCCTGCCACTTACTGGTTATAAATTCTCTAAATCCCAGTTTGATGATTTATAAAATGGAAATGGCATTAGGTTAAATCATATGAAATGAGTGATATTCACCCTTTTCAATCTGATTACATTGCCCAGGCTGGCTCTGAATTTGTGGGTGCAAGCAATCCTCCCACCTGAGTCTCCTGAGTAGCTGACACTATAGATGTGTGCCACCACACCTGGCTTGATTTTTGATTGTTTTTTATCTACATCCAACCTCCTAGGGTTCTTGTAAAGACAAAGTAAGATAATTTCCAGATCTAAGAAGAGCCTAATAAATATTGCCTATTATTTTCTTCTTCTCCTTTTGTAATGGCAAGTACCATTCAACATTTACAGGGACCTACTTCTTTCTCTGTGTCCTTCTATTTCCATTAAAAGTGCTAAAGAATTGATACAACCAATTCAAATCAAAGTCTTTGGATTATATATAACAATATTTTATGAGGAGTTTCAAATTATATTTCATTTTATCATTCTTATTAAAGCTAGATACTTAATTTAAAAATGTGAACCCACACATACAGATATACAGAAAGGTAACCAAATGTAAATGTGTCCTTGTTCTTTCTTCAGCTGACTTCCCTGTCCCCAATATCACTGAATTGAAGGAACCATCTCCTTTTAATGTTAAGAGAATAAAATGCTCAACCGCTGGCGGTTTTCCAAAGCCTCACATCTCCTGGTGGGAAAATGGAGAAGAATTAAATACTGTCAACACAACCATTTCCCAAAATCCTGAAACTGAGCTGTACACTGTTAGTAGTGAACTGGAATTCAATGTGACAAGCAACCACAGCTTATTGTGTTTGGTCAAGTATGGAAACTCCAATGTGTCACAGACATTCACCTGGAAAAAACGTAAGCAACTTTGTCCTGGGGGATGTCTACTGTATAGACTATGGGAAGAAAATAACTCAGCCAGACACATTTTAGAAGCGAATTCACTGACTTTGATGGCAATACGTCATTAGGGTCACTAAATAAGGTGTAATGATAATGTTACTGGACTAATTTTATTTTGTTTGTTTTATTGAGACGGTCTTACGATATAGTCCAGGCTGACCTCAAACTCTTCATCTGCTTGCCACAGTCTCCCAAGTGCATCCACTAATTTTATTTTCTTTCAGTAAATATTCTAAAATTTACTTACATAGTAACTGCTATACATCAAGTAATCATCTTGGCAATTTATTGTCATAATATTGTTTTCGTTGAAAGCAGTAAAAATCATCCTTTTTGTAATTTTCCTAATGTGAGTTTCACTCTTTCTTTTAGGGAGTTCCATGTTACTAAATAATTGTGTTTTTTTCTGGTTGTACTGCAGTTTGTGCTCAGGACCTCATGCTTGCTAGGCAGGTGGTCTACCTCCTGAGCTGCACCCCCAGCTCCTTTTGCTTTAGTTACTTTTTCAATTAGGGTCTGGCATTTATGCCCTAGCCAGCCTGGACCACTATCCTCCTAGTTATGCTTCTGTCATAAATAGAGATAACAGGTATGCACCACCATGCCTAGCTTTTATTGTTGAGATGGGTCTCACGAATTTTTTGCCTGGACTGGCCTTGAATTGTGATCCTCCAATCTCTGCTTCCTGAGTAGGTAGGAATATAGGCACAAGCTACCATGCCTTGTTCAAATAGTTGTCTTTAAAGAATGAATGTGCTTTTTAAGAACTTCTGGAACATTTGCCTAGCATTCACAAGGTCCTAGGTTGATCCCCAGCACTGCAAAAAACAAACAAAAAAGCAAGCAAGCAAACAAAGTGAAAACTCTACTGGTTCATTCAGAACCAAGTTTAGTAAAGAAAGTAAGTGATGAACTGTTTGAGAAAAATATCTGAAAATAAGATGTCATTTTTGAGCCAATACTTTTACCTTACAGATAGTAAATTTATAGAACTGTCCCTGAGAGATGAAATCATCTGAAAATATAAAATGAACAAGTTGGGTTTATATAAATAAATGCATGTTAACCCATAGTAAGTTACCACAGAGAACTCAGATATTTGAATTACATGTATGGCTAACCCCACCCTCACTCCCCTGACCCCATCCCCAAAGATACACTTTGGGTCTGCATAGTAAGAAACAACACGCAGAGTATGATTTTAGTGGTACATAAGCACATAGTGTGAGATACAGTCTGACTTAGGTCTTCCTCTTGTTTCTGCTTGTCATTAGGAGATATTTTAGATGATTTACTGGTTCACTCCAGTCTGATTTATTATAGGTCTTTCAGGCTTGAAGTGGATTCTTTTTTTTTTTTTTTTGTGCTACCTGGGTTTGAATTCAGAGCCTCATGTTTGCTCTATCATTTGACCCACTCCCCTCTCCTGCCCCAGACTTTTTTTTAAATTTCTTTTTTGAAATAAGGACTCTATGTAACACACCTGGCTTCAAACTGCTATGTAGCCCAGGCTGGCCTCTAACTCTCGATCCTCCTGCCTCAGCCAGCCTCCCAAATACTTGATTACAGATATGCACCACCATGCCTGACTTGAGGTGGAGTCTTTAACTACTTTTCTCAATAGGTAATGAGAAAATTTCTTGGGAAAATTAGTTCTAATATATACCACATTTTGACATGGTTTTCTTAATATTCCAAATAAATCTCTCTCAATCTTTTTTTTTCTTTCTTTTTTTTTTTTGGCAGTATTAAGGTCTAGACTCAGGGTCTTATACTTGCTAAGTAGGTATTCTACCACTTGAGCCATATCCCTCAATCATCTTTTATGTATTTTAAAAACGAATTTTGAATCATATAGTAAAGATAGTTTATTAATTCAGTATCTATTTTTACCTTATACATATATCATTATTTAACTAATTTCATATTATTCTAAAAATAGGGATTAATCAATAATAGTAGCTTAAATTATATTTTACTTTGGACATATTTATATTTGGAATATGAGTATAGATGACATTCTAGGACAAAGATTGTGAATTTTTTTGTGGAAAGAGCCAATAGTAAGTATTTTAGACTTTGTAGCCCTTTTGTTTGCCACAGTCTCTGTGGCAACAGCTCAATTTGCTGTTGTAAAACAAAAGCAGCCATGCATAAGACATCAATGAACAATGGCTGTGTTCTAATAGTATTTATTTATTTATTTATTTATTCTTTTGCAGTGCTGGCCATCAAAACTGGAGCCTCAAGCAAGCTAGGCAAGTTGCCTGCCACTGTGCTAAATCCCTAGCCTAGAGCCTTATTTTTAAAATTAGGTGGTCAGCCAGGTTTTGACCAAGCACTGATTTTTGCCACCTTATAGTTTTCGTCTTTGTGGTTGCAGAGTTTTAGAGGGTAAATACTTCAAACATCACTAATTGAACTTCTGGCATCATTTGGAGTAAGAATCAAAAAAGCAAATAATCCAATAGTGGGTAGTTGAGGGCTGGTGACACAAATATATGTTAGGTGTATGGTTCACAGAAGAAATGTTATAAATTAATGTGAGTAAAGCTTTGCTATATAAATATTTCATCTGAGAAAAAAGCAAATTTAGTAATTACTCAGATTGGGTAAATGATTGTTTTTGTCATGCATGACAACCGTGGATAAACTGGAAAGAGGTAAATGAGGGAGCCCCACTCATGGTATCTAATGGGCTCATGGCAGTACCTTTACAGCTGTATACTTTGGATTCTGGCTTTGGTCCTGTGATGCATTAACAGATTTGTAATAGGTACTGCAATAGAGTCAGTTGGCAGCTACTGGTTCCTTCTTCTCTCATACACACATCACATCACCATTCTAGGCTGAAAGAGGCTTACAAGTGGGTGTGAAGTGACCTCTGAGAGAAGCTAGGAGTGAGGACGGCTTCAGATTCAAGAATAATAGCAAGGGCCTTTTGTTATTTTGTTTGTTTTTCTTGTCTATAGAAGACCAACCTTGGCCATCACTTGATGTCTCCTTGCAATCTGGTATTTTAGAAAACAAGAAACTAACTGTAAATAGGTATGCTACCATCAGATAGGCATTTTGGAATGATTACTGTAACAACAAAGTGTAGGAATTATTATACTCTATCATATTTCAGGCAAAGAGACCTTTTGGAGGCTACATGATAGGAGATGAGAACAATCCAAACTAAGGCAGTTGCTGCAGGAGATTTGGGGAAAAGCAATCAGCACCAGAGATATTCTGAATATAGTATAAAAAGTACATGGGAGCCTACTGGGAAATAAGCACAAAGAAAATACTCTTATTTGAGTGACTAATCATGTCATTTGCTGCAATGCTGAATACAGGTGGTAGATGTGCTTTGGAAAGAACATAATGAGTTCAGTTTTAATTATGCAGAAAGCTGGACTCTAACAATCTAGTCAGTTTCTGGAGCTATAAAATATGGACCTCAGAATGAGATCAGAAATAGGATATGTGAATTTAAAAATCAGATGACATTTCAAGTCCCGTATAGGTGTGGATAAGATCACCAGGGAGGACCATGGGAACAGCAATATTTAAAGGGACAAGAAGAGGAAGAAGGGACTGAAAAGAAAGCTGAGTGCAACAAGCAGAAATGGAAGGATGTGGTGTCACAGACGCCAAGGAGAAGGTGCCCAGTGGACTTTTGAGAAGGCAAAAACTACCCACTAAGCTTGGTAAACAAAAAAATGAAAAACAATACGTTCATAAATTATTTATAAGCCATTCCAGAGAAATCAGAAGAGGATGAGCTCCTAATGTTCCTTTTGATTTATGTCCCTGCCCTTTCTCCAGATGTTGTCACTAACTATTCCTCAAAGAGGATGAAAATAAAATGGTGTAGTTTCTGCTTCTGATCAGGAGAGACAGATGGCAGTACCATATCCACTAAGCTCTTTGTCCTTCCCACCCATGTAGCGCTGGAACTATAGCAGAAGCTAGCCTGCAGAGCTCTCTTCCACAGTGTCCTACCTAATGCCAAGCCCTACCCATTATTAGCTGCTTCTTCTAGACTTCCAGAAGCTTAAGGCTGAATGGTGAACAGGCAGCAAACACAAAATGATTCTTGGAACCCTAGGCAGCTAGTGTGTGTGTGCATGTGTGTGTGTGTGTGTGTGTGTGTGTGTGGAGAACATGCTAAAAGGAAGAGGGAGAGCATAATAAAGCTAGTGAAGGAGACACAGGTATATCTGGAACATGACATCTGCTCATTGTTAGTGGCAAGACCTAGTAATACCAGCTATAGAAATGAGCTGTGAAGACAAGATGGCTTTTCAAATATCTCCTTCAAATCTTTCTTACATCAACTGAACTCAATAAATGCAAAAGTTCAAGTTGTCTTTTTTCATATTCAGGATCTGACATCTGAGTATTAGTTGCCCATACTACATGTCTGACTGAAGAATTATGCAAGAAAAATACTAACAGCTGTATATTGGTGAGCTGGCCAGGTAAAGAAGTGAAAGACCCTCTGCAGGTGCAGACAGAAGAGGCATGGAACAGGAACCAGGCAGTAGGAAGCACACTACAGCTGATACTGTTCTTTTCCCCTCCACAGCCACGTCAGCACCTCTGGATAATCAGGCCCTGTCCTGGGGCTGGCTCTGTTTCTATATCGTAATCCCAGTAGCTTTCGTGATCACTGTAGTATTCCTCTGTAAAAGTAAGTACACCTTTCTATCATCATGATCTTAATTCCTAGAATCCCAGAATCCATTGTTGTGTTTCATTATCTCTGACATTTCAGCTTCTTCTCATGCTTGCAGCAAGTCTCTAGCACCCTTAGTGTCTCCTTGACTTGTCTCAGCAAGTTCTGTTCATTCCCTGGACAAATATTCCTTGCACCCCTACTACATGCCTGCTACAATCCTAGGCCCTGGAGTCACAAAGACAAGAAGTCAACGCCATTAAGAAACATTCTAGTTTAGTCCTTTTGTTTTCCCTTAACTCAGTATTTACTCGGAGACATGGAGGTTTGCTAACTGATTTGAAAACCTCTTTGATACTAACTGATATTCTAATCTTTTGCTTGGAATTGGAAGAGAAGCAGAATGTCAAGTTTGGGGGGCAAGAATCATTTTCTTGGAGGAGGCCAAGATCAGTCATAAAGTTAATAAGCTACCTGGTCACAAGTGGTTTTACAAATTCTCAATTCTTCAGAACTCATTTTTGGATGAAAGATGAGGGTAGTTGATGAAAAAAAGAGATATCTAGAATATTTTACTCTATGGATTTAAATTTTTGTCCTTAGACATATCCTGCCCTCAATCTCTTTGATTAAATAAAGAGGAACTTCTAGGTCAGAAGTATGGCTGAAATCTCCACGAAGGAGTTCTGACTCTTCTTGGAGTCAGAGAAATCATGTACCCCAAGCTAAGAAAATCAGAAGACCAACATCTGCTAATTTCCCATCCTTCAAGCACACATGTGTGTACACACACAATGTCAAAGCTCAGCAAAGTCACTAGACACTATGCTATGAGGAACTCACACCATGGGCAGGAAAATGAGTCTAGGGAGCTCAAGGTGATTTTTAATACAAAACTATCCAGCCTTGTCCTCTAGTTCAGATCTTACCATTGTCAGCACTATTATTCTTGACAGTTGGGGCCAGAGAAGTCTTTGTTTTAGAGTGCTGTTCTGAGCAAGATAAGATATTTAGCAGTTTGCCTATCCTCTACTCACTAAATGCCAGTAACAGGCCATTCCCCAATTATGACAACCAAAAAATGTCTCTAACTACTACCAAATGTCCCCTGGAGGAAGGCTGGAAATCCCCCTGGTTTGAGGGGGTCTAAAACTGTTTAGAAGGCTTATAGAAATATATAGGCACTGTTGAAGGGAGACTCACCTATCATTTTTATTGCTCATGCTTGTCTCCATGAACTTACTTTATTGCTCATTTCTTTCCTCTAAGAACTGAGAAGATGGAGTGAAGCAAGGGTGGAAATGAGAAGGCCACGCAGTATCTACCAAGGACCTGCAGAAGCACAAGAACAGACTGTCTGAAGGTAGCCTCCTTTGGTTCTTCTCTACCAATGTGGGATACATGGTGTCATGTGGATCACAAGGCATAGTCTTTCTTCCTTTCAGTACCAAATTTGAATTCTTTCACCTATTGTGTCACCTTCTCAAAAACTTCATTCAGATTACTCTAAGCAGATGCAGGATACTTGGCACCCTTCTGCTCTCTCCTTACATACAATTTGCTCTTTTCCATCTCTTCTTGTGCTGTGCTATTCTGCCATCTTGAAATGGCCTCTTGTCAGTCAATTCAAAATCTTTCATTATAAAACACTGATTTGAGTTCATCTTGAAGCAATATTCCTGGGATAACTTCTTATTCTGGTTACTCATTTTCTCCTACCTCTCTCATTAGTGACGGACACTGTACTAACACAGTAACACTTGTTCTGATTTCTCTGCCTCTTACTTCCAGACCCATCATTGAGCCAAATTTCATAAAGAATTATTCTGTTGTGTCATTTTCCCATTCAAAAACTCAGAAGAGACCCCAGAACCTACAGGAAAAGCTTAAAAACTTTAGCCTTCTACATTCCAGCTGATCTCTTCTGTTTAAGCCTCTTCAGTTCTCCTCTCTCTATGGTTTGTCCCGTGGTCCAGTCACTTCTCATGAACACACTAGATTCCAGTGACGGAAGTCCAAGGTTTTAGATTTGGTCTCACTGACTCTACATACAATGGAGTAATTACTATCTGGAGTCTAGAATGTTCTTCCCGTTAAAGGAGTTAACGCAGCATTAACTTTTGTGTCAATCACACTGTGAAAATAGTCTTTTCATGTAAGAGAAGCAATAGAACACTGAAATCCAAGACTGATATTAGGGCTAAGTAAGTTCTAACCTCCATAAATCTTAACGTTAAGCTTTAACTTATGAAGTTTGGAGTAACACGAGCATAAGAAATGAGTCTGTAGAATTGCTTTTAAAAATAAAGGAAAATGACAAATAATAATGCCCTTATGTTTTGCAAAAGCATGATTTCATCTTAGTCTTACATAATTTTCTATGAGTGTCAGGCATTATGATGCATGCTTGTAATCCCAGTTACTTGGGAGATAGAGACAGAAGAATAATGAGTTAGAGGCCAGCCCAGGCAAAATTAGAGACGCTGTCTCAAAAACAAAACCAAAAGTCCTGGAGATGTGCCTCAAGTGGTACAGTACTTGCTAGAAGGCACGAGACCCTGGGGCTCCATTCCTAGTATAAAATTTCTATGAGCAGTATCTTTCTATCCTCATTTTACGGGAAAAGCCCCGAGGATCCCAGAGGTTGAGTGATTTGCCTGAGCTCATTGTGTTAGTCAGTTTTTCATTGCTGTGACAAATACCTGTCAGAAGCAATTTAAAGAAGGAAGGCTTTATTTTGGCTCATGGTTTTAGAGATTTCAGCCCATTGTTTGGCCCTCTCAACTACAGGTCCCAGAGAGACAAAAAAAATCATGGCAAAGAGGGTGTAGGAGCAAAGCTGCTTACTTCACGTTAACTGGCAAGCACAGCAAGAGAAGAAGGGGCAGGGGACAAGATACATCTTGCCAGGGCATGCCCCAGTGACCTACTTCCTCTAATTAGGCCCCACCTTCTACTTTCCACTGCCTCCCAACAATGTCATCATATTCCATCAAGATACTAATCCATTGATTAGGTCAGAGCCCTCAGGATCCAATCACTTCCCAAAAGCTTATTAGCTGGCAACCAAGTCTTTTGAGGGGACACTTCATATTGAAACTGTAACAGTCACACAGATAGGGAACCAGGACTCAAACTAGAGGGTTTTTTTTTTTTTCCTCTTTTTTTCAAACTGGTCTTCCAGCTCTGGCTCCATTCACTACACCATGATAGCCTACTGGCATCGTTTCCAATGCAGTATCTTAAAATTCCTATCCTGTTTTGTGTTTTTCCACTTCAAAATATGGCTTATCCTCAGGATTCCCTTTCCAGAATGCTCTTTGCCCTCAGATCTGTGATTATGTAGAATTTCCTGACTTTTCCTCTATCAGTCTGCTGATACTTCATAATGAAGGCATGAACCACATTTTTTACATGAAGCCCATCTGGAGCCATCTTGTCGAGTTCAAGCCATTCCATCTCTGAACATACCACACTAGGTTCATTTCATGAGTCCTGTCTTACATCATTTACCAGACTGTAGGCTTGAGAAGAGCTAACATGTCTGATACATCTTCACTCCACATATAGGAGACTGCCTGGAGTTGTTTGGAGCATGTAGTTGTTTGGTGATAGCTAGTGCTTAATAACATTTATAGACTACATCTCATATACTATTTAATTTTATTTTGGCAGTACTGAGGTTTGAATTCAGGAAAAAATATACAATCTTAATGTTTTCCTTCCTGTGAATTTAGGACTTGAAGTATTCATTTATTTTATTTCTTCAGGTCCCACCTCCATTCATGACTTCTGGAAACTCCTTCTGATGCCCTTCAAGAATCTGTTCCGTGGGGGGAGCCTTTTCATTTCAGTGGCTATGCTGAAGTGTAGAAGAATTCAACAGGCACCATAGTAGCTCTGGTGACCTTAACAAAGGAGTTTAGAAATAAACAATTCTTCGTGTCTAAGAGGGCCCGTAGAGAAAACTAGTTTAGGACCCCCGAGTTCCCAACTCTGTTGCTCTGTCCTTCATCAGTTTGACCCTGGGTCCTGAACTGGTGTATATGTCAAAGTGCTTCTGGAAATAGAATTTGTCCAATGTTAGGTCAGCTTCAAAGACTTGATCCAATACTCCTGATGCAATACTCAAAAAGGATCGTCACTGCTAAAAAAAATGTCTAATATAACTGTGGGAAGTATTTTGGTAAGTATTCCTATATGAGAGTATTGGAAATATTATTGGCATTTGGCCAGTATTTGATTTTTCATCGTGTTTTCGTTTATGCTTTCTCACTTCTGCATCAGATTCAGGAGAAAACAGACTATCCAAAATGAATTTCCTCTGACATGTAAGATGAATGAATGCCTTTCATACCTTGAAGCAACACTCAGGTTGGAGAGGGATTGTTACAAATTCACAATCTTCTAGTTCATATTGGACTGGCAACCTTTTTAAATGGTTTTAGGCTAGCTTGACCTCATTTTTGAAATACTTAAAAAAGAAAGTCCTCATTTAAAATAAGATAGTTTTCCTGTGTATGTACTACATAGCAAGCCTATCTTGAGAGGGATAATTGAGGTGTAATAGCCTTCCATTGGGCTTCCTTAGACCCCTAGAAGTGGCTTTTCCTCTTTGGTATTTCTGGATCCTTCTGATATGAGTGGAGAAATGAAAAGCAAGAAGTCCAACTGCTGTTGCTATGATACTCACAACTCCTCTTTCTCTGAAACTATTGCCCACAACTCACTGGGTCAGGAGTAGACCCAACGGAAGCTGGGGCAATTAGATATTCTCATCTGAAAATTGGGAGTTGGACAGAAAGAGATGAGCAAGTTTCTCAAATGTGGCTGGATTTAAAATGTTTAGTGTCGGTAGCTTTAATGAGACCAGATTCTTCTGTACAACTAAGAAACATAGGTTTACTTTTATATGGGTGCTCTCAGATCACTAAAAAATCACTAAAGGAAATAAAGGCAGTAGGCTGATAAGAACTGAGCAAAGAAACATATACAACACACACATATAAACACACATTTAGTTAAGATTCATAATCCTTAGACTGACCAGAAGAGAACCTCAAAAAAGAATTAGCCACAAAATAGGGCAAACCTAAGAGATAGCTGAATAATTTCAAATAAATTATATTAAATTATTTAATTTAATATAATTATTACATTTGATAAATGTGCTAGTTGGTTTTTAAAGAATTATACTTTACTTCTATTATTCTGATTATTTTTGTGATATGAATAAAATTATTTTTAAAAGCAGCTCTCTAGTTTTATAATTTCTAGATGAGTTAACCTGTATGTGATTGTGAGTAAAACAATGAACAGAAGACTAATTGCCAATCTGTCAGAAATTTATAAGTGGAATAACTACAAAAACCAAAACAGAACATATAAATTATGGTGCTGATATACTTGTGCAGAATCCCTCTATCTTTAGAGCTATGAATATTTGTCACCATCTATAATGCCTGGCTCACCAGAGCATTAGCTAAAGGCTGTTCTTACTCCACACTAATTAATACAAGACTTCTGTGATACCAAAAGGTGGAGATTTCTCTCAGCCAGTCAGCAATTAATTCTGCAGTAGACAACAGATGTGTCTTGTGCTCCAATCCAGTTCTGACACTATCTACCTAGAGCTAGCACCAGATCCCACAGGGTAAAGGCTCACTCCCCAAGACCGCCCCCTTTAGACACCAGTCGTAATCATTGGATTGTTTTACCTGGGCTTCTGATCAACTGGTTGTAAATCAGGGTTCAACTTCCTCCTTGGGTTCCATTAATTTGCTTAAGTACCTCAGAACTCAAGAAAACACATTTACCAGTTTATTATAAAAGATACAAATGAAGAGATACATAAGGCAGATTGGCATCACCAAGAATTTCACGTTTGGCTCTCCAAACCTTGTCCTTCTAGGTTTTATGGAGTCTTCATATACATGATTGATTAAATCCTTGGGCACTCGTGATCAACTCAACCTTCAGCTCCTCTCCCCTAAACAGAGGTTGTGGGGTGGGTCTGAAAGTGCTTATCCACTAATTCTGATTTAGTCTTTTGAGTGACTAGCTCCCATCCCCAAGGGTTGCTAGACATCATTTGATTCATCAGCATACAAAAAGACACTACCACTTTGGGTTTTTCAAGGACTTTAGGAGTTCTATGTCAAGGACTAAGACCAAATATGTACTTTGCAATCACACAAATAATAATTTCATTTAATATCTACTCTTGAGTGTATACTATTTTACTTGGCAGGTGAGAACAATGACACTTAAAGTGAAATGGAGCTGGAGATGTAGCTCAGTGGTACTGCACTTGCCTAGTGTGTACAAGGCTCTGGGTTCTCTTCCTAGCACTGCCCTCTACCTATCCCCCCCAAAAAGGCTTTGCTCTAGGGCACATGCTACTAAGCAACAAGGTTAAGCTGGAAAGCCAGGCCTCTGGAGCCCATGGCTTTAGCTATTATATTGTGCAGCTCCACAGGCCTTACTCTGTGGAACAACAGTACTGTTCTAGGAAAAGTAGAACGATTCAACACCAAAATGAAATACTAGCAGTTTACCACTATAGAAGTCCTCTTTTATCTGCAGGGGATACATTCCAAGAGCCCCCCAGCATGTGCCTGAAGCTGTTGATAGGACAGAACCATATACATATATACCTATCATGGAGAACTTCCACCTTTTCACTTAAAGGGAGCACTTTACAGCTTCTCTTTGGTGAATTGGAATTGCCGGCATGTTTAAGGGGGCATTACTAAGTACAACGATGGTTACTTGAGCACAAGCACTGTGATATTTCAATAGCCTTTTGATAACCAAAAAGGCTACTAAATGACTAATGAGTAAGTATGGTATACAGTGGAGACACACTGGACAAAAGAGATGATTTCCAGACTGTGAGGCACGATTGAAACATTTTCAAGCTGTTCAGAAAGGCATGCAGCTTAAAACTTAGGAATTGTTTTTCTGAAATTTTCCATTAATATTTTTGGGCCATGGTTAACTATGGGTAACAAAACTGCGGAAAGCAAAACCACAGACAAGGAGGGGACTGCTGCATACTTATTTTAGTCCTTTGTTTACTTCTCATTTGCTAACATTTGAAATCTGTAGCACAGCTTCCTTCTTCAGCAAGCTCCTGAATGTAGTGATGGCTTGTCTCTTCTAAGAAGCTTCTGCGTAGCACGGCATGGATGCCTTGTCAGCAATACTGAGAAGAACAGAGTCACACTGTTTCTTTAATAATGCTGACCTACTTCTTTTGTTAAATTTGTATTTTATTTCAAATGGTATAGGAATTGTCTTTGATTCTTATTATGACAAAACTAAACACTACTACACATTTAGGCCAAAATGCTCCCAGGGCCCAAGGGGCCAGGGTTCTTCACAGGCTATTTGCTTTACCTAATTTCTTCCTCTCCTCCAAGTGATTCTGATGCAGGGGTGCACTGTGCTCAGCCAAGTTCTTGTTTTGTACAGCGTTATAAGAATTAACAATAGAAAACTCCAGCAAGGTAAAAGCAAGAAAGGTTTATTTGCCCCCAAAAAAAGCAAAAGTGAATGGCAGCCCTTAAGACCAGAAGTACTTTGAGTAACTGGGTATGGAAACCAGATGCCACCGAAGGGTAGGGAAACTCTTTTTATTCTCCCCAGGGCAGCTGTTTCTAGACTGGCCTTCACTGCTTTCAGTCGTTATCAGAAGCAGCTCTTCCAGATACCTTAAAGCAACTGAGGCCAATAGGAAAAGGGGAACAGGTACTAGAGAAAAGGTTAGATCAAAAAGAATTACCTAGAAGGGAACCACCCATGCACAGGAATAATGAGTCAATGCCTTGTAATAGCTATCCTTCTCTCAACCAGCAAAACCCCCTTGTTACCCCTTCCTATTAATTGCTTATACTCTCTCTACAACCCAAAATTAGAAATTAAAGGGCAAAATAGTTTTCTTGCCCGGTATTGAGGGGCGGGCGGGAGGGGGGAGGGAGGGCAGAGGGGTGGTAAGGAGGGAGGTGGGGCGGCAGGGGGAGAAATGACCCAAGCCTTGTATGTACATATGAATAATAAAAGAAAAATGAAAAAAAAAAAAAGGAAGCAGCTCTCCAAGGTTCCCAGTCTCATTTTAGCATTCCTTTCAATTCCTAGGGCATCCTCCTTTTTGTGAGACAGGTCCTGTTATATAACCCCAGCTGGCCTTGAACTCACAATCCTCCTGTGTCAGCCTCCCAAGTGCTGGGATTACAGGTATGCATCACATGCCTGGCTCCACTTGACGCATCTGTTCTTAACTTGCTCTCGAAAATAGAATAGTTTGAAAATTGTGCTCCTCGCTCTCTCTTCTTTAATCTTTTGGGAAGTGTTTTACTTAATTTTGTAAAATCTTGGGCAAAGAAATTTAAGTATATAGATAAATCAATATAGATATAACACATATTTAAATTAAAGGGTAAGTAAAATAAAAGGGTAAGTAAAAACTGATTTCAGCAAAAAGAAAAAAGAGCAAGTTACTGCCACCACAAGTGCCAGTGCTTATGTCTGTCAGCAGAGTGACCACAGCCTGGCATTGACATTCATGGGCACAGTCACATGGCTTCAGTACTCCAATGAATCTCAAGTCCAGCACATTCTCAGTCCTTGTCTTGCTCCTCAGGTGATGAAGGGTTTCTAGGAAGGCTTAGCAGTGCTTCAATTTTCTTAGCATCATCATTGGATCGATTTTTCTCTAAGCTATTTTTAATTTCTGTAGGAAGTTGCTCAGTAACTTGAAGTCTGGCTTTCCTGTAACCAAAGAATAAAAAGGATGTATCAAGTACTGCTCCATTTCGTTAGTTCTTACAGAGATTTAAAACAAAACAAAAAATAGTATTTGTCTTACTTTCCCTGCTTTGGTATGGCAACTTATGAGCTCCTTGCAGTTGAAATACAATGACTTACTTCTTTCTCCTAACCTGTTCCACTCACAAGCCAGCCACGATTCCCCATTACCAAAATGAACACTGTGGCAACAGCCCTGATCCCTAACATATTCCAGGACACTGGGCCCCAGAGTCCTCACATGGCTGATCAGTGGGAGTGGACACACCCTGTGCTAAGGTGGAAGTCTTGAAGCTGGGCAGTCTTCTTGTCTTGGGATGGGAGGTGAATACTATTCCATTGTGTAAACTCTCTCACCAGACCCTGCAGGAACTGGACAAACAATGGTGATCCAAGTAGAGAAAAGTCAGACAGGACAACTCTGTAGACATGTATTTATGAAGAATTTGAAGCTAAGTTCTAAATAACAGATCAGTTTTTTTTTTAATCAAGTATTAGTGTCTTTTCTTTAAGTGATTATCAAGGTTAACTATAACTTTCTTTTCAACTCAACCAGGTTTGGCCATTTCTTCTTCTATATCTCTATCACCAGTTTTCTGTATTTTCTGCTAACTTAGGCAATTTTTAAACTGTTTGATTTCCCTATAATATATTCAGGCAAAGAATCAGACACATAAACTGGGCACCAGTGGCTCATGCCTGTAATCCTAAATACTCAGGTGGCAGAGATCAGGAGGATCATGGTTGCCAGTCTGGGCAAAAAGTTTAAGACCCTATCTCAAAATATCCAAAACAAAAAAGGGCTGGCAGAGTGGCTCAAGTGATAGAGCACCTGCAGTAATGTGAGTCCTCGAGTTCAAACCCCAGTACTGCCAAAAAAAAAAAAAAATATCAGACATTTACTGAACTAACTCTTCAAAATATCATACATGCACACACATATATAAGCTGTACGTTTTTAATGCTATTTCTGAGGCAGGCTAGGAGTAGGGAAAGTTCAAGACTCATATGCAGGTTGCCCAGGGAAGGCCCAGACCACCCACACCTGGCAGGAAACCGCCCGTGCCCCTCCCCACTCACTGAACCCCATCTAGTTCTCCCCTTCTCATAGGTTATTGTAGTTTTTAAAAGCACCGGAAGGGTTGATGGAGTGGATCAAGTGGTAGAGTGCCTGCCTTGTAAAAGCACCTGAAGAGCAGAAACACACTCTCTTGGCTTCCGGCTTCTACCTGGGCCTCACCATGCTTCCCTTTATGTTTCGCTTCCCTAACTTTTAATACACTCCGTTTACACCCATATGTCCTGCCATGGATTCTTCCATGCAGGACAAAGAATTTGGAAGTCTTTTGATCACAAACTGAACCAGCACTGTTAACATTTTCTTTGGCCAAACTATTTTCATTATCATAACTCAAGTTACTGCTTTTACGCATTCTTAAGGTTCTCCATCTCTAAGTCACTGATCGACTTCTGTAGTTATTCTCACTTCTTTTTAATAAAATTTATTTTATTATTTATTCATATTTTCCAAATGTTAATTTTTCCATAACATACTATACATAAGAGTCAAACAGCCTCTCTACCCTTTCTCAAAGCTTTCTTTTCAAAAAAGAAGTCTCTATGACCTCTAGGGAACCAGAAATAAGCTCATACCTTCATTTTTTTGTTGTTGTTTTGGTTTTTTGCAATACTGGGGTTTGTACAAAGGACTTGTGCTTGCTAGGGAGGTGCTCTACCGCTTGAACCATGCCTACAGTCCCAGCTTTCATGTTTTTAATTCTCTAAAATATCAAATTTTATGCTGGCACTCAGAATCTTAAGTGCCTAGACAACTGCATTCCACACCCTCCATGAAGAGGAAGGAATGAATAAGCAAATATCGGATACTGTGGTAAATTCTGGCCCTCAGAACCGCTGAAAAAACTGAAGACAGTTTTGGAAAATATCTATGGTCACAGAACTAATTCATAGTCTAGCAAGGATTTAAGCTCAGTTTTCAAGGTTTTATTGGCTCCAATATGAGTGCTTTTTCTCCTACAGCACTAAAGTCCTTAGACAACAGACCTATGAAGAATTTCCATGCATGTATGCTTAAGTGCTTAACACAAATGGAGGTTTCAAATAAAATCACTAGGAAAAATGACTGCTCATCTATCCAACTACCAAAGCTACCAACAGCAGCAGCAGCAGTATCCGGGAAGCCAAATCAGGGAGAATAACTTATACTCAGGAGCACTAGAGAACATGCAGCCTGTTGATCCTATATAGAACCTGCACCAAGTCTATCATCATTCTGATTACCCTACCCCGGGAAACGGAAATTACTGAACCCTAGGAAATGACTGGATGAACAGGCAAAAGTTTTCATGCTCCTAGTAATATGTCACTCACGAACAGCAAATGTGTCTACTTTTCTTTGTCTACAGCAAGAAGTGGAATTTTTCAATGTGCAGCCTTAACATGTTCCGTATTATTTATAGGTATAAGTAGTACAGGGGATAGGACTTTTTTTTTTTTGGTGGCACTGGGGCTTGAACTCAGGGCCTCACACTTCCTAAGTAGGCACTCTTACTGCTTCAGCCACTCTGCCAGCCTGGGATATCACTTTTTCAACAAGCCAAGTAAAGCTCATTGCTTGATATGCATTCCCTTTAAATGATTTCCTACACAATCAAGAATGTAAGAAAAGAGCCAGATATGGTGGATCATGCTTGCAATCCTAGCTACTTGGGAGGCAGAGATTGGGAATATCAAGGTTTGAGGCCAGCCTGGGCAAAAAGTTTGCAAGACCCCATCTTAACCAATAGCTGGGTGTGGTAGTACCTGTCACCCCAGCTACATGGAGATGCACAAATAGGAGGATCACAGTCTAGGTCTGCACAGGCAAAAAAAGCAAGACTCTATCTCAAAAATAACCAGCACAAAAATGGTTGACAGTGTGGTTCAAGTGGTAGAATACCTTATTAGCAGAGTTCAATCCTCAGTACTGCTTGGAAGAAGGAAGAAAGGGAGGGAAGGAAGGAAGGAAACCAAATGAAATGTATATAACAACTTTTTTTTTTTGCTGTACTGGGGTTTGAACTTAGGCAATCACGGTACTTGAACCATGACCCTAGTCCTTTTAGCTTTAGTTATTTTTCAGATAGGATCTCCTGCTTTTGCCCAGGGCTGGCCTTGGACCATTATCCTTTTACCTATACCTCCCTGTAGTTGGGATTACAGTGGTGCCCCACCACGCTAAACTTATTTGTTGAAATGGGGTCTCATTAACTTTTTGCCCCCAGGATGGCCTTGCAGCAATCCTCCCAGACTCTACCTCTGGAGTAGCTGGGAATATAGATGTGAGCCACCACGGTTGCCATTTTAACATTTTTAGAAAGTAAGGAAGGTTCCCATCAGATTAAGTAAAATTAGTGCTTTTCATTTACTCATTCTCCCTAATTACACTCAAGGACTACGAAGGGTGTGAGTTTAAGGACACAGTAAAAATAAATTCCTCACTGAACTGAGTGGCAGTTTAGAGCCTGTGGTTTAGCAGAGCACAACCTTACAGTCTGCCCCCTGGTATTTCCATGCTCCTTACCACTCTTCCAGTTTCAGCTCATGGAGTGCCTTGAGGTCCTTCTGTTTCCGCTCCTGAAGAGTCTCACCGCAGTACTTCTGAAGTGCCACCAACAGACTTCCTACAGGTGTTCTGAGGGAAAGCAGAGAGAAAGCATAGCCAAAGAGTTACCAGACCAAGCAGCATGTGAGCCCTCTGCTGAGCACCACCACAGAGCCACATGGTTACTATCTGAGAGAACATTCAACAATTGAAACGCTTTTGTCAAATAAAGAAAAAATATTGACAAAATTTCCTCCCCAGTCTGAACAACAAATAAAAACAATCTTTGTAGGCTGGGACAGGTGGTACATGACTGCAATCCCAGTCCTTGGGAAGGAGAGGCAGGAGAGAGTTTGAGGCCAGCCTGTGTTACTCAGTGAGACCCTGTGTACCCACCACCACTAAAAAAATACAACTAAATCAATACTTGTAACTTTCCAGTTAACTGGTATAAAAAAATAACAGACTAGAAATTGGCTCTGTTTTTTTTTTTTAATCATGAATGAGAAATAAGCTAGTACAAAGAGGGAAAAAATATATTTACGGCCAATTCCAGCAAGCAGTTCTAAACTAAACTAAAAGTTTCTCAGAAATGAAAATACTAGTTTAGAATGGTACCAGTCCCCTAGGGAACAGGAAGTATGGAGGGCAGCCTTCCTTGGAGAATATGCTACTGGCTTCTGGGGAGAGAGCCACTAAAGCATACCAGAATTCAAGAGTCTGGCACCACTCACTCAGTTGCACTGCCAATAGTTACCCACTCAGGAGCTGATTTAGATCATTGTTATGGTGATGAAGGCAGCTGTTCTCAAAAGAGAAAGTTTTTGACTTTGGTATAACTTAAATTTCCCACGGCTATACTTTTTAGTAATCTTGTTTAAACAACTATTTTTGCTGAGTAGAAACAAGCCAAATGTCCCCACAGAACGGATAAAGAAACTGTGGTATAGATACATATGCAGCAGAAGCTTATTTATGGTTGAAGAAGGAAGGGGGCTGTGTCATGTGGCAAGTCCCATAGAGCTGGAGGCACCATCTGCCTTAAAAGGAGAGAGGAGGCTAAGCCTGCAGATTAAGGTAGGCCCAGTCCCCAGGTTGAGACAAGAGACTAAGAGTTTTGGCAGGACCTGTGAGCACACAAGAGTGAGGAGCCAGGAATGTGCTAAAATAGAATAAGGACTTAGTGATTTGGTCTGTGACCCTCCAGCAGAATGCTCTATGACATTCTGATGGCATTCTGACGATACTTTTCACTGGCAAGTTACAATTATGGGACCTAATGACAGTCCATATCAGGGTGGTGTATTCTTTTTGACAAAATCCTTTTTCTGCAGATTACCCCTTTGAACCTATAGCTGGATTTACAAGAACTTATCATCCAAATATTAACAATAATAGCATTTGTCTTCATATTCTAAGATAACAGTGGTCTCCTATTCTAACTATTCCTAAAGTTCTTTTATTCATTTGTTCACTGCTATGCAATACAAACCTAGATGATTCCCTAGTGAGGTAGTGTAGTAACAGGGAAAGAAACCAACAAGGGGATTCTACCCTCCTTAGCAAAAGGTCACCTCCCCATGCTGAATTCCTTCTTGTCCTCACCCACCCTCAGACATCCCCTCAGTGGTAAATTCCTTTTCAATTGCAAATTCCTTTGCAGATGTAAGTTTCCCAAAAGAAAAGGGAGTCTCTTGGCTGGTTCAGACCAGAAAATGCCTGGTAAAGGGAAATTGGTCCTCAATCTGACTTCTCAGGTAAAGCCCTCTACTTCAGACCTTATGGATGAAGAGGAAGATAGCCTTGAAACAGGGCCATAAAACATGGTAAACTATCAACATAGAAAAATCATTAGCATTTCTATACACTAACAATGAGCAAAGTGAAAAAGAATGTATGAAAACAATTCCATTTACAATAGCCTCAAAAAAAATCAAATACCTAGGTGTAAACCTAACAAAAGATGTGAAAGACCTCTACAAGGAAAACTATACACTTCTGAAGAAAGAGATTGAGGAAGACTATAGAAAGTGGAGAGATCTCCCATGCTCATGGATTGGTAGAATCAACATAGTAAAAAGTAATCCCAAAAAGTAATCCCAAAAGTAATCTACGTGCTTAATGCAATTCCCATCAAAATTCCAATGACATTCATTAAAGAGATTGAAAAATCTACTGTGAAATTTATATGGAAACACAAGAGGCCACAAATAGCCAAGGCAATACACAGTCAAAAGAACAATGCAGGAGGTATCACAATACCTGACTTCAAACTATATTACAAAGCAATAACAATAAAAACAGCATGGTACTGGCACAAAAACAGACATGAAGACCAGTGGAACAGAATAGAGGATCCAGATATGAAGCCACACAACTATAAGCAACTTATCTTTGACAAAGGAGCTAAAAATATACGATGGAGAAATAGCAGCCTCTTCAACAAAAACTGCTGGGAAAACTGGTTAGCAGTCTGCAAAAAACTGAAACTAGATCCATGTATATCACCCTATACCAAGATTAACTCAAAATGGATCAAGGATCTTATATCAGACCCCAAACTCTTAAAGTTGATACAAGAAGAGTAGGAAATACTCTGGAGTTAGTAGGTATAGGTAAGAACTTTCTCAATGAAACCCCAGCAGCACAGCAACTAAGAGATAGCATAGATAAATGGGACCTCATAAACTAAAAAGCTTCTGTTCATCAAAAGAAATGGTCTCTAAACTGAAGAGAACACCCACAGAGTGGGAGAAAATATTTGCCAACTATACATCAGACAAAGGACTGATAACCAGAATATATAGGGAACTTAAAAAACTAAATTCTCCCAAAACTAATGAACCAATAAAGAAATGGGCATGAACTAAACAGAACTTTCTCAAAAGAAGAAATTCAAATGGCCAGAAAACACATGAAAAAATGCTCACCATCTCTAGCAATAAAGGAAATGCAAATTAAAACCCACTAAGATTCCACCTCACCCCTGTTAGAATAGCCATCATCAGCAACACCACCAACAACAGGTGTTGGCGAGGATGGGGGAAAAAGGAACCCTCTTACACTGTTGGTGGGAATGTAACTAGTACAACCACTCTGGAAAAAAATTTGGAGGCTACTTAAAAAGCTGGACATCGATCTACCATTTGATCCAGCAATACCACTCTTGGGGATATACCCAAAAGACTGTGAAGGTTACTCCAGAGGCACCTGCACACCCATGTTTATTGCGGCACTATTCACAATAGCCAAGTTATGGAAACAGCCAAGATGCCCCAGCACTGAATGGATTAAGAAAATGTGGTATCTATACACAATGGAATTTTATGCAGCCATGAAGAAGAACGAAATGTTATCATTCGCTGGTAAATGGATGGAATTGGAACATCATTCTGAGTGAGGTTAGCCTGGCCCAAAAGACCAAAAATCGTATGTTCTCCCTCATATGTGGACATTAGATCAAGGGCAAACACAACAAGGGGATTGGACTATGAGCACATGATAAAAGCGAGAGCACACAAGGGAGGGGTGAGGATAGGTAAGACACCTAAAAAACTAGCTAGCATTTGTTGCCCTTAACGCAGAGAAACTAAAGCAGATACCTTAAAGCAACTGAGGCCAATAGGAAAAGGGGACAGGAACTAGAGAAAAGGTTAGATCAAAAAGAATTAACCTAGAAGGTAACACCACGCACAGGAAATCAATGTGAGTCAATGCCCTGTATAGCTATCCTTATCTCAACCAGCAAAAACCCTTGTTCCTTCCTATTATTGCTTATACTCTCTCTACAACAAAATTAGAAATAAGGGCAAAATAGTTTCTGCTGGGTATTGAGGGGGGGGGAGAGGGAGGGGGTGGAGTGGGTGGTAAGGGAGGGGTGGGGGCAGGGGGAGAAATGAACCAAGCCTTGTATGCACATAATAATAAAAAAAAAAAAAAAAAAAAAACATGGTAACTGTCAATTAAAAGGCTGTAAACCTGGACAGAACTGTTGGAGAGAGCCATGCAAAGTTCCAGGACTGAGATTTAAAGGCACCATGCAGAGATAAGCACCATCCTGCCTTTCTTGTCTCTACTTGGTAAATAAAACTTTCCAAATAAGCCTTCCCTGCTGTCGTTATCAAAACATTTAGGTCCACTAGCTCACTTAGCAGCCCAATTAACCTAAACAATCTTAACTCACTGGGTTAGGACACCAAAAACCTGAAGCACCATCTTTGTAACCTGATTGCCCTGCTACTACCTTTAAATGTCTTGTGAATCCTTTGTTCAGGGCTCAGACACATGTATACATCTGGGCTCGCTGGCGTAAAAATAAAATCTGAGTTCTCCACTCCTCCGAGTGTCGCTTGGTTTCTTGTCTGACTATATTGCCACAACATCTTGGAGGCCCCAGTGAGATTCCAACCGACTGTCCCCTTGAGCCACCAGCCAGCAGCTGGGCGGCACTGGAGTAGGGAGGAACAGGGGACTGAACGAGGTGGTGTGCCGCCCGATGGTATTCCAGGTCCTCCTTCGCCTATAGGTTGGTGCTCCATCTCTCTGAGCAGTCTTGGCCCGGCTTGGACTCCAAGGAGAAGTGGACCAACTCATTCTGGCAGTCTCGTCCGGACTCTGTAAGCACCACCCCTGGGAAATCAGTCCAATGGATGGAAGGGGAGCTTGATCCACTCCCAGGAACCTCCAAGAGGAGTTCCACAGGTCAGGGAATCCTCCAAGAAGGGGGAAAGGAAAACTGTAATAACTTCAGGTGTGTGAGTGAGTTGAGCGGCCTGATTTGTCCTCCTTCAGGCTCGAAGGTTTTTGTGGCCCACGGCGTGAAAAGGCTATGGGGTCCAAGCTGGGTCTGTTCTGTGGTACTGTGGGTGAACTCATATGGCTTAGGGTGCATTAGGGGCATCCCCGATCCAGGTCACAAGCTGACCCCGCCATTAATGCTAAAGAAGGACCGAAGTTCTTCGGGGATTAATGCCAGGAACAGGATATCTGATTTTGGTCTCTTCTCCTGAAGGCACCCACCTTTATTTGTCTTGCACCACTGATGGCAGGGGGTAATACACAGGGTGGAAATAGGGATTACTTCTTCTAAT